CATGTCTCAATCCAACATTGGCGAACGGAACATGTTCGACAAAATGCCTAAGACAAACTCCAACATAATCACCAAAGATGTAAGCCAACCAGATCCTTCTGCACACAATGCTGAGGATGAAAGGGCACTTTTAGCACCCAAAGGGACTGGAGATAATCCACAAACAAAGTCAACAACTCTCAAACGCCCCTTTAGTGAGTTGTTTGCCAATAACCGGAAGCCGAGAAATGGTCTCAAGCTTGCTTACACCCCAACTTTAGAAGCGAAGCGAAGTGAAGTCATAGAGGCAGTAGGTTCACAATTTCTTTGCTGAAGGTGCTGTTAATCAAAGTTTGAATTCAAATTTCATTGCCCTTATTCCATTCCTAAAGTTGAAAGTCCTTCACAAGAACACCAGTTCTGCGGTTTTCCTATTCGCTCGCTTAGCTTAAGACTAGAAATACATGATTTTGGGAACTAGCACTTTATCTAGCTGCCTTGAAAAAGAGGGAAATCACTAAGATCCCTACCCCCTTTACCCTTTAGGGTCTAGAGAGGCGTCACAGTAATTAAATATTTAAGGGGTCTACCTGTAATTCCAGCCATTGGGATACCAATTGGGATACCTACCGTATCAGCCTCTACTTCCATACTTTCTCCTTGGAATCTAGGTTTCAGTACCATATGGGTCAAGGATAGTCTAAGGTACCACGGTACTGCGCTTCTTCCAGACGTACCCATTGAGGAAGTTCTTCAGTGCTCCGGTTGTAAACAAAAATGGAAGATCGTCTCAAGTGACCAGAAAAGGAAGAAGAGGAATGGCAGGCTAACGCTTTTGATCTTGATTTAGTTTACTGAGAATCAGGAGCTAATTCGGTAGGAGCTGCTTGTCCAGTCATAAAGATGGGATCTGTCCACTCTAAGGTAAGGAAGCACTGTCTCAGGCGAAGGTTGTTCCGTATTCTCTTCTTTCATAGTGCCTCTTCCCGTAGAGGAATGAAAATCATTCAGGTAACTAAGTGCAAGGATAGAATGAGCTCAGCTGTGAATGCTGCCGATGCATGCTGTGCGTCTTGTCTTTCCCGACGAAAGTGCTGCCGATTCCGCCTGTGTGGCCTGGTGCGGTTCAGCCTACCTATTAGTGGGGGAAGGTGCGTAGCGCTCTCTCTTTTTCATAGTCATGTGCCCGTGGGAGGAGACTCACCTTCTTCTTCTGAGATGGGATGACGAGAATATGCTCTGCAGATGTTTTCATTTCAGGAAGAAGGTGTTAGCAAGGAGCGAAGGGACGAAGGCTTAAGGTCTAGGTCTTTGCTGCTTGACTGCGTCAAAGCTTGAAGTAACGAATAGGCAGCACTTTGATTAAATCATAAATTCACTGATATTGCCAGGAAGGTGCCCTTAGCTTCCCCTTTTTCTCTACATTCTTGCTTTCACCCAATTCTGTTCTCCTAGCCCCCGAGTCAAGGGGCTCTTCTTTCTACTCTCGAAAGAAGGCAATTCAGTGAACTAGATTCCCCTAACCGGCTAACTTTTCACATCTTTTTCTTCCTCATAATTAGCCGTAAGCTGCTATTGTTATATAAAGGTTCCGTTCTCATCCTCCCGGGACGAAAGCTAGCTCACTGCCTCACACCACTCTTAAGAATTGGCACCGCACCCTAACCCTCTGGTCGGCTTTCATGCCGGACTTCTTGTTATTTAGACCCCGCTTTCATTCATTTCTTTTTAGTTGCGGTACCCTGGTATGCCTCCGCCCTGTGTCCACAATTCCATAACTTCAATCCAGGATCATGCCTTGGGCTTAGTTCACATGTTCCTGCTTAGTTCGCGGGCTATGTGGCAAGCAAGAAAAACGTATTCGCCATAGTGGAGATATCCTTTGCTTGCTGATAGTACTACTAGCTCTTGACTTAAGAGGCAGTAAGTAGCTCACCAATTTCGGGTGTACGCGTCCCGTAGTCTAACTGGTACTCATGTCTTCTATAGCAGTATGGTATATATTGGTTCCAGGTTGCTTAGGACAGTTCTACCACGGGCGAATTCCGACCCTCATCCTTTGAAAAAATATTGACTGCAATCTTTCTTTCCTCAGGCACTCGTCGGCAACTCCGATTGCAAGATGATTCCGAAGAAACTGAAGATGCAGGAGAAGGAGGAGACGTCGTCGAGGCTCGATATAATTGACCTCTATTCAGGCTCCCCAAGGTTGGAAACGTCAGAGAATCATGGTTCCCGCTTCTTCTGTACCAGCCACACTTTCTGTCCCTTCGTCAGGTCCAGCTTCTTGCACTCGCAGCCAACTTGCTCGCAGCACCTCAGCCTCTGTCTTGCCATCTACCACAACCGCCGGTGGAGACGAAGAAATGGCTGATGACAGACAAGAAGAGGGTGTAGAATCCATATTACCAGAGCATGAACTAGTACTGGCGGATCAGTATGCCGCGGTGGTATACCTCGTCAATTACATCGAACCTCGCCTTTTGTTTTTCTCTGATTCGCCGTTGTTCCTGTTATTTATTGTCGCTATGTGTGCTTGTGGGAGTCTATTTCTTTTTTGATGTGCTGTCACGCTCCCTTCCCGTCTATGGACGAAAGGGCAAGTCCTTGACTCTATTCCCGATCCGATGGTCGGGCAAGCGGCTTGGCTTGATAAAAAAGGAAACTCCAACAATTTCTTTGTTCTCATGATGTTAAGAAAAGATCTTTTGCAAGAGGGTTGGCTAGAGGTAGTTAGCCGTTACGCTACGGGTGCCATTAATCCTATGGCCCCCTAGCCCACTGTCTGAAGGTAAATTCGATCGATCAGATGCGGGAACCAAGGCAAGGTCGGATGGTTGAAGAGTAAATTCACAGAAAATATTCGATTGTGTGCATCCTACCGGATAGAGACTCTAACTTAGAACTTCTCCTTCGGCAGCATCTTCCCCGGGCTTCCTTCCCTCGCTGAATTTCATCCCGTAAGTCACTTCGTTCCCCAGCCCAGACTTCTGTGAGACGGATATCCTTGAGAAATTCTTTCTCAATGCTAAGGGCGGGGAAGGTCAGATATATGTATGGCACCCTGCCAGTCGAATAAAGCGCTACTTGCATCTTTGGTCGATGATGGGGAGCTAGGCCATCACGGTAACAGCAGATCCCATGGGAGACTGCATTGCCGATATCAGTAGAGACGGCCTGATCCTTCAGCCGCGGTTGATTCGATCGTTAGGGCTTTCTTGTCTCTCTTGGATGGTAATTGAATTGGAAGATGATTCCAGAGAAGAGCTCCATTGACCGTTGGCTAAGGATCGAATCAAAAGGTAGCTCGGTCAGTCAAGCCACTCATCGACGGTACTAATAATCATAATTTTGACTTTTACACCGTTTACGAAAACAAGGGATATTGCTAACACTGGTTTTTCAACAGCTGCTACTGCAACAGCGTCAAGGCAAAGACCGCTTACTGATTCAATTGCGCTGCTTCTATATCGATATCAAGTCCGCTTAGTCAGTCTTAATGTGGCATCGAATCGTCCCTTTTCTCTTCCTTCTCTTATGATATGATATTTATTATTATATTATTATATATATATATATATTATTATATTTCTTTTTGACTCCCGCTAACAAGACTCACCTTAGAAAGTGATCTACGGCCGCTCTCCGGATCAGTCGGTAGGAATGGCTCGTGATCGTGCATGAAAAGAAATTTCCTTTGGCACTTTAGAAAGATTCTTTGGGTAGGAAGGTTTCTCAATTCGACATCGCCCGCACCCTTAGCCTTAAGTTTGATTTCAGGAACGAGTCTTTTTTTCCGGAAGGAAGACTAAGAAGGTTCGATATAATTGACCTCATCTGGCTCTCTGCTTAAGTGACTAGTTTGACTGGGTTGAAATCGTCGATAAGCCTCGGTCTAACTTTGGAGTGACTAAGCAGCCCGCCTAAGGAACCTGAGACCACTTCGCTGATACGCCTTCTTTACATACGATTGATATGGCCCCAAATCTCACAACGAGAGGGAGATTGTTATGCTGAACCCAGCCACTACTCCGGTGGATGTCTGTCTATGAGTTAGCTCTTTCTGCCTCCGAAAAAAAGAATCCGAATACGACTCTCGCTAAACAAGAGCTTTTTACTGCTAAGCGGATCACAACTTCATATTCAACAAGAGCAAGAAGACGACTGACGCCCGCTGAAAGCTTTGAAGATTCGCTTTTTCTCGGGTTCGGTTCCTAGCCAAAAGGCTCTCGCAGTTCTTGTTCTGTAAGGGCTTGAATTAGCGTGAGAAGGCGGTGAAAGGCTATTTGAGCGTCAATGTGAATGTGCTTATAAAGGGCTACTCTTTCTAAAGGAGGTCAATTACATCGAGCCAATGCTTGAGCAAGACAGCTTAGACCTCTTAGAGCGATACCAGAAAAAGGACATAACATAAATCGATCTCTTTTAAGACCGGTAACCAAGCAAGATAGAAAGAAATGACCGATTGCCGTACATAGACCGATGAAAGTGAAAAGATAGAGATTAGCCTTTGAGCATACTGATAGAAAGAGCCGATATTGGCGATATTTAGGAATAAAGTAAGGAAGACTAGCTTTACATTACGAAATACCAGTCGGGGAGTTCGAGGGAAGAACCCGATCTATAGCCGAATGGCAAGTCGTACGTAAGCATACACACTTCGAGCAGAACTCAAAGCGATCATAGCGCTGATCCCCTTCCCAACATAGCCATTCTTGCGTGCTTGTTTTGCGAGATTTTGCTTTCAGTTCGTAGAGTGGATCAAAGATGTGTTCAGCTTGATTCGTTGGTGCAGTCACTTCGTTTGCTTTGTGTGCTCCTTCGCTTTCTAGTAGCAAGATCAGGCTTTTGGCTTGAAGATTGAATCTGAGGTCTGCTAGTGCTTGAACGACTGCATTCCAAGAGGCCACTTCCTATGGTATGGGAAGGTCCCCTATTGATGAATCAAATCACTCGAAAGAAAGTTATTTTACCGACAAATAAATATCTTTTCCATTTTCAAAAGAAGTTAAGGGCCTGGGGAATGCTTTTGCTCGTTTAACAACGGAACAATCAGGTCAATTATATCGAGCCTAGCATCAACTCACCCTTTCGGATAGGATCGGTAGGATGGCCGTAGCTTCGAGCAGGCAAGAAATTCAAAAAGAAAGTAGCTAGCTTTTGCTCTATCATATTGTCCGCTGCTTAACTCGAATCCCTAAGAGTGACGTGGAAAGATGAAAGTGTGGGTGCGGTGCCAACAGTGGAAACTCCACTGGGGATATAAAAGGTAGACTCCAATGCATGACTATTGGAAAACAAAGACCCAATTCAATGAGCTTGACCTGCACACACTTTTTTAGCCCTGCTTCTTCTAGTTTCGGGCGCATGGCCCACTCCAGACCATGAGATAGGACAAGGGTTGCCCCGCTTACTTAAGTACCTGAATCGTAAGTTAGTTCTACTTCACTCAGAAATAAAGAAGGTAAGAAGGTAAAGACTGTCAAAGCCAAGCTTGAAAAAGGAGTTATGCACAGCTAAAAGAAGAAAGAAAGCAGTTATGCTGCTAAAAGAAAGACAGAGAGGGGTGAGTTTACGAGCTGCTAGCCCAATGCCTTGTACTGATACGGTTGAACCATCAGCCAATGTGACCTTGGGAAGAGACCCTGAGCTATGGATATGAGACAATCAAAAAGAGTTACCAGACATATGATCGGTGGCACTTGAATCAAAGATCCATGGGCCTAAAGAGGACTGTGAGATACATGCAATCCAATGGGATTAGCAGACTAGGCAAGAGAGGGGAGCCGTAGTGGTTGAAAAAAGTCAACTTACGGAAGCATCTATCTCTAGAACGCACTTCAATCCGCACATAAGACGATTCCTCTTTATAGACTCAATTACGTAAGAGTCCAGCTAGCTCGTCTGTGGAAGTTTAAGCCTTGGCCCACCGTTCTGATTGAAGTCTTGCTCTGACCTGTCCTACCTATTCCTAATACATTAGGTCAGGGAGGAAAGAATCAGTCCCATCATTGCATCAACACCGTCCTCGGCTCAACCGATGGTGACTCGAAGTATGAGGGCCCGCCAAAGTAAACCGGCTAGGTAACTTTCAAGTTCAAAAGTCGTAAGCCGAAACTAAAGCAGCAGAGTTTAGAGCTTCAGTTCCACCAAACAAACTTTTCGAAGCGAAGTTCAGTCATAGAAACTATGAATTTAGACTGATTTTTCTCCTTCTCTAAGAAGAAGATTTTCATTTTTTACCAGTCTTGTAGCGAATAAAGGTCAAAGGTCCCGGTAGGGGTCAGCAGCGTCGGGAGGCAGAGGTGAACAAGAAGGACTCTCTCTCGCAGCAAGCACCTACTCCTAACAAGCAAAAAATTTCTCTTCTCATTTGAGATGTTACAAATAATGCCTATTTTCGATCTTTTTCCTGGTAGTAAGACTACACTTGCCGCGAAACCTCCTCTCGAATGTACACTAAAGGCTTAAGGTGTGTACTTCCCCCGAAAGAGACCTATTGATAGATATCCTGTGAGAGTGCGTGGGATCTATTCCCAAAGAAAGATCGTCTTTTTGGTTGTAGAGAGGGGTGTCAGCCTTTCGTTATGGTAAAAAAACTGGTACTAGTAAGCCAACCCTTAACGGCCTGTTCGGACTGCTCATAGGTAGAGGGATATGCGCCGAGGATCTCGTTTTTCGGATGAGTTTCAATCATTCAATAAAAAGAATTTCTTCCAAGATTCGATTTTTTATCAATGCGTCAGCGTTAAGCCTGTCCGGCTAAGGAGGGGCATCCTAACTAAATCTAGGATCAAGAGCCCCTATAGAGAGGGAATCCAGCTCAAAGTCCTAAGCATTTTCTTTCTGTGTCAGCTGGAAGTGGCATCCCAAGAAAGAAATCCGTAGCCCTTTGTTGTATAGCTGTAAGCTCGTCTAAGCCCCTAAGGTAGGCAAGAGTGTTCGAATGAACTCAATTAACATAGAGCCTCCTTTCGCTAGTCCTAAACCATGACTTAGTAGCGACTTAGTTCCGTTACTGGGACTGGTAAGAGTACGTTCATCAATCTACGTCTTTCTTATTAACGACTTTTTCCCCTTTTTTTTGACTTCACTTCGCTTCTAAAGTTGGGGAGAGGTAATTGAGTTAATAATTCTAGTTAGCGCTTTTTCTGACTCGCTTCCTCCTAGGCTTAGGCTGCGAAAAGAGAGAATTTGACTCTATAACGGGCTAAGCTTGAGTGAAGTTCCTCTCTGGTTCGAATTGGAATCGAAAAGCTCGAAGGAAGTAGCCAATTCAAAGGCTCGATATAATTGACCTCTGCTTACAGCCTAATTCAAATCGAGGTTCCATCTTAGTACGCAAAGTCTGAAGCAAGAAAAGGGAAATCCAGAGTTAGAGAAAATCTGTCCGAATCTAAGACATCCAACTCAAAGGATGGACTAAATAAGCGCTCTCCTTGCATTTTCAAAGTCATAAAGTCTGAATTACAAGGTTCTGAAAGAAATAAAAGAGTCAAAGAGGTACTAAACTAGGATAGATTGCAAGCAAAGCCCGCATACCCGTGTGATCTTTTTTTCCTATCCCTAAGCCTGGGAACTTCCTATAGTGGCAGGTAAAGGAAAGCGGCAGCTAATTGAATGGGGCTTATGTCGAACCTCTTCAACCGAAATGAAATAAGATTCATGAAGGAATGCTAGTGTAGTTTTCCCCAGATCTCTGTCTTATTTAGACCCGGATCTCAATCTATTAGAAAGGAACTGCCCTACGTTCAAGAAAGACTGTCCGGCTGTAGCCATGTCGAATGGAGAAGGAGAGGATTAAAAGAGGGACGAAGTTAAGCTGCTTTCCCCGCAAGGGACTGACGACTGTAATCCGTTATCCGCTAGCCGTTCCGCTCGTACCCTCGCTTGAGGCTCTGCAAGACCTTACTATACTATTTGTTTGCATTTTCCACGTAAATAAAGATGCATGAATCCCATCCGGGAAGGAGACCTACCTTAGACTAAAAGCAAAAGCCTTAGATGAAAAGCTATTCTAACTCATACCTTGTCTCATAATCAGTGAACTTCTCAATTACATTGATCCTGCTCTTACTGTTTTCGTAACCGGTGCCGCTGTTCCAGTTGGAATATCCTTTTCTCTCCTAACCGGTGCTAGTGAAAGCAAATAACATAGTGAAATAAGAAGAGGAGAATGTCCTGAGAGAAGAAAAGAAGTCAGTGAATGTCTGTGATTATACGAGGCTTGATGTAATTGACCTAGCTATCTATCCTCTTCCTTCCCTTCCCGTGGGGCTGGCTAATCCTATTTGAATTTTCTTCAACTGCTCGGAACAGAGATGAGGAATTTGAGTATGCCGGGTATGTCTTTGCCCAAGGTTCCGCTTGTTACCTCGTTAACTCGATAAAGCGAGCTCGGGAAAGCGGTTTTTTTCTCGAAAGGAAATTCATTTCTATTGAAAGCAGGAAAGGTCGGAACTGGCTTGTTGGCTTCCTTTCTTCAAAGCGAATTTGAGTCAGCATGTGCAAGGGAGAAGGAGAATTGGCTTTCGACTAATTTTCTTGGTTCCGTTGCAGGGGGCGTGGCCAAGAAGCAGCCAGGGAAGGAGGCGCACCCACGGGTAGCTCTATTTAGAAAATAAAGAGTTCTTTTTTGTTAGGGTTCCAAACCTGCCTAGATGTCTGTGGCTTGTAAAGACTTTTCTCCTTTTTTTTGACTTCACTTCGCTTCTCAATTACATCGAGCCTACTCGCGATCATAGTTCCTTGAGCATGCTACGATTCAGAGAGCTATCAACCTACAAAGCCCAACCGAAGTCGATCGTCCGTCCTCAATCCCAGGTTCAGGGTGGTGAGCGCTGCTATCTAATTTCGAGATCAGGTCTATCTTGGAAAAGCCCGGATCCGCGTTCAATTATGCTGGCGATACAGCTGGCGCAGGCGGAGATGGCAGAGGACGAGATGAAAGAGATCAAATGACGAAAGCCTTCTCACTGGCCAATGCTGTGGACATAACGTAACCACAGTTATGCCTGTTTCGGTCTTATCTCTATCTATAAAGAGCCAAACAGCTTGAGTCTTACGATGACTAGTCCGGTATCCCTCTATGTTAGATTGAATCCCCGTTGGATTGCAACAAAAACCGTTTGTAGTGCCACTGGCATATGGGAATTTCGATGGAACATGGACTCGTTAGTCACCCTTAATGATTGGGGTGGCGAGGTGAGGTCTAAGCACCATTGTCACCACTCATAGCCACAATTTGTTTAGGTGACCAGAGCGATGCCACAGGCAAGCTTTAGCTTGGTCATTTTATGAATACGTATGTGCCCCAGCGTACCCGTATTCGGCCACGAAGTCCTCTTTTCTTATTTTAGGGGCTGATGTCCCTTCCGGAATCTCTTATATAGTGTGATCGAGTGTCGGCTGCTACCGACCCGTTCCGAGAAGCTTCTTTCTTTGGATCCAAAAGTCTTGTCCAGCAGTTCTTCCATACCAACTTAGCTGCCCGTACTTGAATCAACAGTCCGATCAAAGAAGGGGTCATGCCATGTGCCCAGAAGCGGTAGATCAGCAGCAGAAGAGAAGGAAGCACTATATTTAGGGAGAGAAGCGGTTGGTCTCGACTAGCTCTATAACCTTTCAGTCGCCCTCTTCTTTCTTCCTCAAACTAGGGGGTCTGGTCAATTGAAGGCATAGGTGCCTGGGAATAAAGTAATAAATGGGATGACGGGGATCCGGGGCTTATTATCTTACAAAACCTCCTGCGGAATGCCATATATAAAATATCAAAAAAAGGCGAGAAGAGGCGAGCGAAGTTCAGTGAAAGATGACCCCCAAAGTCAAGTAGTGATCGCCCCAAATAGAGTACTCAATAGGGGTTGGCTTTGAAATGTTCTACTGAGGGAGGAAATCCATCTTTTGAAAGCAACCAGGACTTCCGCAAGCGGGGCTGATAAATAAATGCGCGAGAAGGCATGAGAGCCTTGTGGCAGATGGATCTGAGGGTTTACTGGCATTGGCCTTGTAGAACATCCAAGCACTCAGAGTGGACAAGGCTTTTTGGGCACCTTTTTGGAGAGCTTTCTCTTCGCTTCCTGAAAATGCTAGTTTGTTCGATAAAAAGTCAAAAATTCCCATTTATGGACCGAATGTGGGACTTACCGCCTATATCCATCAAATGATGGGCTCCGTTGGGTAGCACAGTTTTGATCACAAAGGGACCTGGGGACCATTTTCCAAACCTTTGTATCAAGAGGCGCGTAGCCTTTTCCATACAAATTCTCCTTCCGATTGAAGCTTGACTTGTTTTAGGCTCTAGCTATTCTCATCTTCTGAACGGGAATTCCGAAAGAGTGACTGAAAGGAGAGGAAAGGTGAAATTGAGAGGAGTGACCAAACAAACGAAGCGAAGTGAAGTCAGGAAAATAGAACAAAGCGAAGCTAACTGACCGAACCGAAGTGAGGGACTGATCGAAGCTACTGATACGAAGGGTACGAAGTAGCTCGACTTCAAGGTACAAACGAAGCGAAGCGAAGTGTAGAAACAAGGAAGCTAAGATAAGACTACACAAAGGGAAGTTCAGTCAGGAAAATAGAACGAAGTGAATGTAATCGAAGAGAAGGAAGTATAAGTCATAGAAACCAACTTCAAAGAAGTATTTGTATCACACCCGAGCAATGGACCGGGGAAGGAGTTTCATTCATTTACGGAGTTTGGAAGCGAGGACGATCCAGGATCGACTGCTATCTGAAGAAGTGGAGTTACATGGATCTGATTACCCATTGGCGTCTGCATTGACGCTTCTGACTAGCCCTACTCTGTGTCTTTTGCCTTTCCTTATTCATGTACTCATGTCTATTTCTATTTGTATGATACTGATATTGCAATCGATCTATCCCTTGGTCCTGCCAATCGAATTGTTAAGTATGTTTTTTCCCTTTCGAAAAATCAGTACCAAATGGTCAATGCCTCCTCAATGTAATCTCCCCAACTTTAGAAGCGAAGTTCAGTCAAAGAAAGGAAGAGCTAATTCACAGGAAGAAAAGTCTGAGACTACTACCTCAGCGAAATCTCTTCAATCTGTTCAAGTTGAAGAACTTCTTCCTTTACTTACCTTCGGTACCGAGGAAGACTTCTCAGCGAAAGATGCTCCAGTGGAAGTGGAACCAGCACCCTCGGATGTGAGAAAGCACTCGAAATCTGATCTATTCTATCTCCTGAAGTAGGAAAACATTGCATCCAGGATTTTGCCCTATTTGCAAGTCACCAAAACCCGTGTTTTTTTAATGCCTCCCTCGAGGACCCATCCTTGGGAGACCTACTCAAACCGTATTTGCTTAAAGTTATTTCCTTTTGTTTTCTTCAAAAAAAGAACATTGATCCCGTATGGAGCCATGGTTCTTCAGAGTATTACGTGTTGGCGTATTCACAGTCCTTTCTATCCCCTCTTTGAAGGGTTTTAAACCCATGTCCAACATTACGCTCGTGATGCCATCGGATTGTCTACCGTCTATAAGGGAACCCCCTATAAAAGCCAACCCAACTTTAGAAGCGAAGCGCAGTGAAGTCATAAAAAACCGGTTTACGCGCCTGTATGGAGGACAAGATTCAGAACGATTCAAGTCCTGGTACCTGCGAACAGGAAGATTTGGTACGTTAGCATTTGGCTTTGGCTTTGCTGCGTAATAAGAGCCGCCGTCTCGTGGCCTGAAGTCGTGGGGCAAGGTATTGCACTGCCCAGTTGTTTTAAACATGTACGTAAGGTGATCTCGACTCTCACCTTATGTTAACACTTGTTTACACCTTATATTGGACCAAAGGAGATATCAAAACGATATAAAACCAAGGGAAAACATACTTTGAAGTCTTTATTTCCATTTTTCCTTTATCATTGTTGCCTATTTTATTGACCAATGCAGACTATCAAGAGCGAAGCGACTGAACTCCAGCCTTTTAGGATGGAGGAAGAAGCAAGCGATTAAAGAGTTTAAAAAAGGAGGTCAGCCAGCTTGAGACCGAGACCGTAAACGCGCTGTCCCCCTCAATTACATCGAACCTCAGTGCTAACCAGAAAAGGAAAGCCGGTACTCACTCGAGCATACAGGTAACCACGATTTAATCATGCAAATAATAGAAATGCGGATCCCCATTTGTCCAATAATAGGTCACTCGTCGTTTTTAGGACTCGGTCAAATTTGTTAGAAATGGTCAGCCCTTCGGTTTCCCAATGAGGGAGCCCCCTATAGAAATGCTTAGAGCAAGGCTTAGAACCAGAGGTCAATTACATCTCAATTACATCGACCCTGGGCGCCTATCTACTCGTTTTGTCCCTGGGGAAGCTTATGGGGCAAATAAAAGGCAACTGCCCCTCAAAATAGATGCAGATGAAGGAAGACGAGGAGCTCCTATACTGCACTCGCCAGATAGGAAGCCGGGATTAGCAGATATTAACCGAAATACCTCACGAGTAAAGTCCGTTAGCTTGGAAGACGCAATCATATACTCGTACTGGGGGGCTATACGCTTTGTTTTAGTGCTTTGCGCCATGATTGGATTTTATGTCTGGTGGTTCGCATTGCTTTATGCCTTTCCGGGGCAGGCGTCAGCCCCCGGGAATCGCTACTTCGGATGCAAACAGTTCGGTTCGAAAGCGTTAGGTCCAGTGCTTGTGCGGCGAAGGAAAGAAAAAGATCACAGGTGCCAAACCGGAGGCTAACTTCAGTACGGCTATGGGGAATTCATCGCCGACTATTAAGGAATGGTTGATTCAGCGTAACGAGTAGAGACTAAAAAAGATTCTCAGCATCAATACGATTACGCGCATCTACATCTACTAAAAGTAGGGGGTGGTTGCCATAGATAGATTGGGGAATTTCGTAACCAGAGCACGATGCTACAGCATAAACTATAGCTATACGTGGCGGCCCCACACGCTGCTTTGTTTAATTTAACAAGCATCACCCTTCCTTTCTTTTCCCAGTTCACCTACTCCAAACACGAATTATGTTAAGCCCTACCAATCCGCCTACATCACCACTTTGGAAGGATGATCGGGAACCAGCTAAGGTGCGATGATAATTGCCCTAAAGGCGTAACTGACAGGTTCTTTTATATCTGCCTATCCGATTCATCCTGTACTCCAAAAAAAAACAGAGGTGAGGATCGATATAATTGAGAGTGGGACGGATCTACCTGGCCAAGGTTCCAATGTAAAGCGGTTCTCCGAAATGTTGAAATATGGCTCGTGCTTTCCGGATAGCTGTAAGTTCGGGAAGAACTACTATTGAAAGGCAAGGGAGAAAGCAAGTGCTAGTGAAAGTAGGAACAAAAAGCGTGCCGGCGAAGAGAAGTTTGACTTTGAAAGACACTGTCCTTATTAATATTAAGAAAAATAACAATCGGCACTCAATTACATCGACCCAACTTTAGAAGCGAAGCGAAATGAAGTCATAGAAGCTTTTTTGGTCCTTCTCCTGCCAGTAAGCCGCTCTTTAGCTTCCGGATATGTTCTCTTTGTCTTCCCGAGATGTCGAAATCGAGGTCTTGTCAGAGCCTTTCGTGTTGTGAATCGCGAGCTAAAAAAGGTTCCAACCCTGGATGAGTATAGGAAGAAGAGGTCCTTTACTTTCCTATCGAGCTTCCTGATCTTCCTGAGATGTTCTATTTGGTCTGAAGGCAGGATTCTAACCTGCACGGGTGTCAATTCCTTCAACCGATTACTCTTGGCGATACTCCAGCTCTCTTCCTGATATTGGAAAAAGGAACTTCCCGAGATCTGTCTATCTACAACCTACAACTCTTATGTGTTTTACATATATCTAGCGGACACAGTTCGACCATCTGTCTTGCTCTAGCGCAGCAGATCTCTTCTGATAAGGCATTTCTGACAGTTTTGATAGAAATGTACAGGAACGTTCGATAACTGGATTGTTCTCACCGGCCCGTCATACTATTTACCAGATTCCTTGGATTAAATCCATCTACCTCTTGGGCGGACTTATTTATTAATAGAAGAAGAAAGGACTCATAAAAGCCAGCACCTATAAGAAATGCGAGGCTCGATGTAATTGACCTGGTCACGAAGAACTAAAAGCTAGGAGGCTCAGCTCTTTAACTCACTAGCTCTTGCACGCACAATAGCTACACTGAATGATTAGCTGTTAGGATCGTCTTTCCCGGTATAGTAGAACTAAAAGCTAGGGTGACGAGCTCCTCACTGGACTGCCCCTAACCTTCAACCTTGACCTCCGACTACTGCTCCAACTACTTAGCTCAAATCGAATATAAGTTGACTAGCTCTTCCACTCCCTTAACCAGGACCTCGCCTTAGCTACACCTATCCCAGATTGAACTTGTCCCAGATAGATCGGCTTGACCACACCACCTACTGGAAGACTTGCTAAAAGGATCCTCTTTCCGGTTATCGTGCCATATCTACTAGGCTTGATGTAATTAACCTCGGATTCGTTTACGTGGAAAAGACTGGTTCCTGTTGAAACACTTGCCATCGGGATGTCCAGTTCTCGTGCAACTAAGAAAGGGTTCGTCTTCAACTCCTATATGCCGGCCCAAGAAAGATTCGCTTTCAGGAGAGACTTTCCATCAATATATCCATATAGATAGATTAGCGATTAACCACCGTTGAAAGTGCTGCCCCTGTTAGGCTTGTCTTTCTCACATCTACTACTATAATGCTCGACCACTTCTTCAACTCCCTTAGGGTTTCGGTGATCAAGCTATCGCCTTCTTCGGGGTTACACCCCTGCATCTTCATAAACAGGCATTTTACGCAGTAAATGGGACTAGAGAGCTGCAACAGCAAAGACTACAGCTTCTTTCTTCTGACTTCTGTCCCTTTCTTGAAACTTCGAAACAACGGTTTATGCATTCGAAGAGCAGAAAATCCGCTGAGCCCCGCATCGGTATATTCCCCAGTACTGGGATTGGTTCCCCATAGGGCGAAGGGCTTTGGCTTTCTCAATTACATCGACCCTTGCTTTTCGGACAAAGTAGAGGAAAGGTTAGCCCAAAGGTCTTGTCTTTCAGAGCGGGGATGCCTTGAGTTGCTGGATCCCCTGTACAAGGGAAGTCTATTCTGCTCAAGTGGATGGGCTAAGGATCAGTTCCAAGGGTTGAGGATCTCGAAAGAAAGTACGCACGGGTGTATGGAAAGAAGATCCTTTTGCCAATGTTTCGATGAGGATGACAGGCACCGGTACCAGCGATCCTACGAGTTAACTGAGCTAATCCTGACATCTATGGTACTGGACGTGGAAAGTCAGTCCGGAGGCAAGTCTTTCTTTTCTCCTCATGTTTAGGAGGAAGGTCCAAGGTAAGGGCCATTGGTCATTGTTGCTATCAGGAATTGGTCAAAGGGCTGAGGGTCGATGTAATTGAGGAGAGCAAAGCGAGACTCTAAAAACGAAGCGAAGCGAAGTGACGTCAAGGTTCGATGTAATTGACGAAGCGAAGTGAAGGAAAGGTGTAATTGAGATGGGAAGAACTACTAAGTACAGCTATCCAGATCAAGATCTATCCTCAACACTGGAACTACTTAGGACTTAACTTACAAGACCGGTTGAAGGAAGAGCATATGTATGTCTGGGGCCTTGTGCCGGCTGGTGAAACAACTAGCTCTAGCTCATCAGCGTGACGCTGGGCAAGGAAAGCATCCTCTAACCGCCTCTCCTGCCTACCTGGACACTTCGCTCTTAAGGCTCTTTCCAAACCTGACCGAGATAGAGGACCTAGAGGCCACTCTCTCCTCCACTCAGATGTATCGACTGCATCGTGCATTACGCACCTATCTGGCCCATGTGTTTGCTGCCCATCTTGCTGCTATTTCCCTTGCAAAATCCCATGATGATCTACTTTTTATTAATCAATTACTTGTATTGGTTCGTTGAGCGGCGTCTAGCAAAGGATCTTACCGTCCTGATATCCCGGACCACTAGGCTAATCTTTCTCCCGCTCAGGTGTATCAAATGATGCCCGCGTTACGCACCTATTGACCGTGGATGTCAGATGCCGTTTTTTCCCCAATCTGCCTAGTTACATCCAGTAGGGAATAGTTTTTCTTCTCTTAATCAATTACTGGTATTGGCTGCTACCCGACTCATGCCCTTCCTAAAACTATTCAATGCATATAGGCTCATCTAACAAGGCCTGTTCTATTAAGGAAGGTGTACAGAAGGTGGATAGCTAACAAGTACTTATAAAGGATGGTATCAACGATGCTCATCAGCTCGGCTAGTCCGGTTGGCAAAGGTCAATTACATCGAGCCTCTACAGATATTACGAAAGATGAACCAAAGGACTACACTTTCACACACCAGTCATATATCTTTACAGAACAAGTAATACTACGAGCTAGTAAATCGGGTGGCCAGTACCAATCCCTGAAAGGTGTGTTTAGAAAAGAAAGATGATTGCTCTTACTCTGATATTTAGAAAAGTCCAAAAGGTCAGCAGTTGTTGAGGAGAGCAAAGTGAGACTCTAAAAACGAAGCGCAGTGAAGTCAAAAATAAGGGAAGGAGAAAGCCGACCATAAGTGATTGGAAGTAGCTTAGGCTGACGAGACCATTCGACCGATAGGGAGATGTAGCTGGGGATAGGAAGCGGGTCCACCTGTTGATTCGAAGAACCCCAAGTTTGGAAGGATGGGCAACTCCTTCCGAATACGAATACATAATTAAAAGTAGTATAGAAGAAATAGTTCTAAAAGAGCGTAGCTCCGATCCTGATCCTTATTCTTTAATAAAATGCAATCACCCTTGGTCTGTATCCTAGATCTTACACCTTGTAAGATCCATATCCACAACCATCTGATCTGGGATCTTACATCGGCACCCTCGAATGGTATCTTCAATAACTAGTAGGTCTAGTAGATTCATAACTTGATATCCTGGAGTTGGGATTCAGTCTAGACCTCCTTACCTTCCTTGGTAGGATGGAAATAGGTAGTTTTCCTTTCTGTATAGAGCTTGCCCACCTGTCTGTTAGTTATGGCTCACTGGGTGGTTGACCACCCCTATTCCAGTAGTTCCAGATGAAGGCACATCACATTCTTCCTATCCTTCCCGGCTGTTGGCCTGTTCTTATGAATAATCAGAATAGTATTCATCCGTAGTCGTGGAAATCTGACAAGAGTTCTGTGTCGAATCGGAATGAAGATCAGAGGCTAGGGCAGGGCCAAGAGCCTGATTTCAAGCAAGATATTTCTATTCAATGCGAATCTTACCTTTCGCCCCCAACAAACTTTTCGAAGCGAAGTTCAGTCATAGAAGTCGAGCTCCTTGGATAAAAGCTGCTTTTCTCGCATTCCCCTTTGACGACCGGTCGAAGGTCCAACTCGAGATGGACCAATTAAAGGGTCAACACGAGGTCGGTCGGCGTAGCTTAGAAGGGGGAAAGAAAGCCGATAGGCGAAAATAGGCGAAGAGGTTTAGAATCTCGGTTCACAAAGTAGCTACGCAGCGAACAGTCTTTACCCGCTTTACCGATAGGCCTTTCGAGATCAATGTGTTAAGCAAATAGATATTGAATCAAGGAATCTCATAATTCAAATCAGAGCACCAGAAGCAACAGTCCCATTGCTCCTACTCTACCCCCTTCGGTGACCGGCCTGGTCCTCCCGGACGATGAAGGCACTTTGGGCGAAAGGGTTTTCAGAGAAAGAGAACTTTAACTAGATAGATCCTCCTCTATGAACATATGAACATTCATTCTATTCTATTATATACGATATTTATTGAAGAAAAGATAATGAATGAAGAACCCCCTTTCGGAGATTCCAGTGGCGTTTGTGCTGCAAACAAGACTTTGAACGAAAGGACTGCTCAAGGCTCTCGTGCTAGAGGACTGTCAGTAATGGGAGAAATGGGTCAGCTTAGAACCTGTGGCTGGATTGAATCCCAACCCAAATGATTGTTCCGGTGGCCGGGTATACCAAGTATAGTTTTGGCATCTTCGGAAGTCCTATCAGAGTCCGTCGACATGCCTTCTTTT